CTGATGCCCGCTACGATCGTGTAGTTGGGTGGTACCTCTTTTAGCCTCCCCCAGGGCATAACAAGAATCAGGTGGATAAGGCGCAGGAATATCAGGGTAACCGCGGCGGAAAACAGGGTGCAGGTATTTTCGCACAAAGATGCAATCAGGCTTTGTGAGGAAAATAAAAGATTTTGATGAAATTGTAAATCTGAAATGTTTTGGGAAAGATTACAAAATAAATCCCTTGAGGGAGCAAGGAGTCAAGAAAAGCAAGAGACTTTCTAATGAATGAGTTACGCGTCGCGTGCCGCGTCTGTAGAAAATACAACCCGTACAACCTAAAATGTAAAGAAGAAACCATAACACATAAACTATCATCGGATAACTCAATAACAACTGAGAAATAAAATTTTAAAGAATGAAGCATTTTGGCCCGGAGGTTGGAAAAACATGCATCAGACGGCTTAGCTCAGCAGATAGCTGGTTTGGACCATGACTGTGACGTGGGTTCGAATCCCACAGTTGTCCTTGGCTTCTCACCGATCCCCGTGCTCGGGATTAGGCCCTGTTTTCTCCCACAAAAAGGTGATAATCTCTAGGGATTGACACTTACATAAGGCACAAGTCTTCACTGCAGGGGAGTTCTTCAAAATGAACCGCACTTGTGCCCCGCAGCAGAGACTTGTGTCAAGTCCCCCCCGGTAAAATGTGGCCTCGCATGTTTGCGCCACCCCCCCTATATTCTTGACCATTCATGCACGCACATGGGGCGGGCGCACTTCGCCGCGCACCTGCGGTGGCGCCCTCAGCCCAATTCTCCGGCCTCAAATAGAGATATTTATATTTATCCCTTATGATCAATAGGAGCTGGACACAATCGATGAGGAGTCCCCGATTGTTTCAGGCACGCCCTTTAGCTGGTCGGTTATGCAACTGTCTGTTTCATCGCTCAGTGGCCTCCCCGTGACGAGTAACCCAGTGTGCTCGACTGGAGACGGCGCAACCGTTGTGCAAGATCTGGTGGCCCAGTGGGCGCCAAACTACGCCGGGTATGTGGTGGCTCACATGAGTCTTGAGAAGGTTGTTCAGACCGCTTTCGTTCTCAGCAAGCCCCCCCGGTTCACCGAGCCCCCCCACCCC